GATTACGTGAAATTTGATTACATGAAATTATGAAGTTTTTGCAAAAACAAAACTAATGCAGCCAAAATTTCAGGAAACCAGGAAGTTAGAAGGAAAATTTTACAGAAAATTTCTCTGAGAAAACCTCATTTCTTAAATATATGGGGGAACTGAACAGAAGTTATGAAGAAAACCTTTCCCCAATTAGAGAAATTCAAATAAAAACACCTCTGAGATACTACCTCATATCTATCATATTGGTTAACATGACCAAAAAAGGAATATAAAAATACTAAAGAAGTTGTAGAAAAATTAGGACACTTTTGCACTGTTAGTGAAGTTGTATATTAGTCCAACCACTCTGGAGAACAATTCAGAAAAAGGAGTTATAAAACTGTGTCTACTCTTTGGCCCAGCAATACCCCTACTAGATTTCTATCTCAAAGAGATAAAAGGAAAAAGAACTTATTTTTACAATCCTATTTATAGCAGTTTTTTTGTGGTGGTAAGGGATTAGAAAATAAGGGTCTGTCCATCAATTGGGGAATGGAATAATAAGTTGTGATATATGTTTTGATGGAACACTATTATGCTGTAAGAAATTACAAAAAAAAAGTATGGTTTCAGAAAAACCTGAGATTTACATAAACTGATGCAAAGTAACGAAACCAGGAGAACATTATATACAGAAACACCAATATCATAATGATGATGAATTGTGAAAGACTTAGTTATTTTGCTGCAGATGATGATCCAAAACAATTCTGAAGGATCCATTGTGAATATTCTATGAATCTCCAGAGAAAGAACAGATAAACTCTGATTACACATAAAAGCATTCTTTTTTCATTTCTTTTATTTTTCTTGGTTTTATGGGTATATTTCTTTTTGCAACATGGATAATATAAAGTAATTTTGCATAACTTCACAAGTTTCAGCAATATCATATTTTTTGCCTTCTCAAGGGGTGGTGTAGCAGCAGAAAGGAAGGAAAAATTTGATATTCAAATTAAGAAAAATGTTAAAATTTTGCATATATTTAATGCAAATTTATGGGAAATATTCAATGAAATTAATAAAGTAAGTAATTTTTTTAATTAAAATAAAAAATAAATACATTATTATTTTATTTTAGCAACATTTTCTTATGAAATTTTGAATTCCAAGTTATATTTCTCCTTCAAACCTCCTCCCCTAGCCACTGAGAAGGCAGGGATACTATATTGATTATGCACATGAAATCATGCAAAACACTTCCACATTAGTCATATTTCCCCCAAAATGCTAGAAAAATATATTAGAATAATATACTTCAACTTTGACTCAGAATTTATCAGTTGTTTCTCTGGAGGTGGGTAGGATTTTGTCATCATGATTCCTTTGGAATTGTCATGGATCATTGTATTCATAGTGTAGCCAAGTCTTCCACAATTGCTTTTGATTACAACATTAATGTCACTGTGCACAATGATCTCCTCATTCTGCTCACTTTACTTTGTATCGGTTTATATAAGTTTTGCCATTTTTTCTGAAACTATTCTCCTCATTTTCTACAGCACAATAACACTGAAATACAATCATATGCCATAACTCCTTCAGCCATTCCCTAATTGATGAGCATTACTTCAATTTCCAGATTTTTGCCACCACAAAAGAGCTGCTATACAGAAAAACCTGGAAAGACTTACACAAACTGCTGCAAAGTAAAATGAATAGAACCAGGAGAACATTATACACAGTAAGAACAATGAACAACTGTGAAAAACTTAACTATTCTGAACAATACAATGATCCAAGACAATCCCAAGGTCTCACAATAACAAAATGCTATCCACCTCCACAGAACTGACAGAGTCTGAATGAAGATCAACACATAATAATTTTCACTCCATTTTTTCCTGTTTTGTTTTGTTTTTCCTCTATCTTCTTTCACAACATGACTAAAATGGAAATATGTTTTGCATGATGCCATATGTATAAGCTATATCAAATTACTTAAAGTCTCCAGAAAATGCAAGGAAAGGGAGAGAGGGAAATAATTTGGAACACAAAATTTAAAAAAACAACAACTTGTTTTTACATGTAATTGGAAGAAGATTCAAAACCTATTCAAGATCTCTAGAAAAAAAATTTTGGAGGTTTTTTTTAAAAATATATATCATTGACTATTAAAGACAACATGGTATACAGATGATTCAAAAAATCTTGGAGCTAAGAAAAACTGAACTTAAGGCCCTTCTCTGAAATATATTTATTATGTTTCTCTGGACAAGTATATATCCATATGTTCATATATCCATATACATATGTCCACTTCATACATGTATATGAATATATGTATATGCATGTGCATTTAGGTATATGAAAAAGGAAGAATGAAGAGAATGAGCATTTATATGGTTCCAGTGATGTGCTAGGCACTATGGTAAGTGCTATTTACAAATATTATCACATTTAACCCTCACAACAATCTGTATGGTAGGTGTTATTATTATCCACATGTTAAAGTCAAAGAAATTAAAGCAAATAGAAGTTGAGATAGGTCATACAGGTAGTAGGTGTAACTAAAAATTGAACTCTAAGAGTCTTTCTAAGTCCAGGCCTCACAATCTATCCATTATACCATCAACTAATGTAGGTATGTATATATTTGTATGTGAGTACGTATATACGAATATTTTTGTGTGTATGTATATATGTGTACATATTGTTTTTCCCCATCGGTTCATTTAAATAATAAATTGGTATTCATTTATAAAGAGGATCTTGGGTTCTCTTTACTTCTTTTCCTAATCTACCTATTACAACTACATGAAACTCTGTGTGTGTATATGTTGTGTGTGTGTATAAAAACATCTACATATAGATCTATCTAATACAGAGGTTGACTATGACATCATTTCTAAATTTGTAGAATTAATTGGGTTTCTGTTACAGATATTATTGAGGCAGCTACATGGCTCAGGTAATAGCTTAAAGATTATTTCTTCTGTACATCCATAATGGATTATTTTTGTGTTTTGCTTTGATCTATGTTTACATTGCTATAACAACAATTAAGGGAAGAGCTTCCTCTATAATTGTACAGTGTCCTGATCTGGGAGGCCAACTAATTCACCAGTTATCAACATATGATTGTGAAGAATTGTTTTTACTGAGCCCTGACCACTCTAAAAGGCTACTTTGTAAACAGGTAAATTGCCTAGTTTCTCTTCAATTAAGTATAGAGAAGCTTTCTTTTTGTTTGCTATCATACATTTCTCATAAATACTAAGATTTCTTAAGAGGACTCTATCATCTTTGTGAAGGTCCTGACACTGAACACAAATATCATAGAAACAGTTATTTATACATCATAGGAACATTCCTCTCATTGATAACATCACCAGGTAGTAAGTTTCTTTCAATTTTTCTCAACTAACAGGTATCCCAGTTTTGAATATCTATAGTCTCTCTTTCCTCAGAGACCTTAAAACATATGTCAAAAGATATTTGTGACTTTAGTTCAACTATCAGTAGGTAGGGTATAATACCATTGACATCATTCCCAGTACAATTCTATATATGTACCATAAAAGACACATGCTGGCTCCAGTGAAATTCATCTTCTGGTCACGGTATCTCTAACACACTCAACAGAATTGGATTAAAGACTTCCAGTTATGGATCACCTTCTGAACAATAGGGTGCTATTCCAAGCTTTTGAATATGAACCAGAACCAATATCTCTTTGAACATTGTACTTTGAAAGACTTTACCTTGTTATGAGTAGATCCTGAAAGGAAGTCCACAGGCTAAGAAATACTTTTCTCATAATACTTTGGCAAATGCAGAGGCCTTTAGGTTCCTAATTGGGTATGATTCGGCATACTGGGTAATGAGATCCATCGCTCCTGACTTCAGTTCTTTTTCTTTCCAGAAATAGGAAGACAATTCAGAGAAGTTTCAAAAATGTAATAATACTAAGCAATCGGCATAAGCCAATAGTACCTTTCTTTGTACAGAAGAGATACAATAGCCTAGCTCTTAGTGACTAGTTTTCTTTGGCAGTAAAATCTGTTTCATACCAATTCTACATTTTTTTCTTAATCCCTATGTCCAACACTATTATGTAGCTTTCAGAGTCAAAAAGTGATATATATGCCCTGGGTAGCACCAACTATTTCCTGCTACCAATTATAGAATAAGAAATGTTCTGGTATAAAACAGTACTCTGTTTTACAGTTTCAACTTCTGCCACTGTCTCTACAGCAAAGAGATTTCAAAAGACAAATGAGTACTTTGCAATCTCCACCTCCCTTCTTTTCTTGTATTTCTTCACATAGCCTTTAGTCAACCATTTACCCTCCCTAATCATCCACCGACAACTTAGGCAAAGAACATTTGTTCAATAAAACAAAATTCACATATGTTGTTGGCATAGAGCCTGGTATATAAACTAGTATGCTTTATAGATTGCAACTTATTCTACAGTGTTTAATTTGCAAGACCCATAGCCCTTGGAGATATTAGATTAATACCAATTTCTTAGCTTTTTCTATCATATTTCTATCCTATATTGATCAGCAAACAAACAAACAAATAAAACTTACCATTGCTGCAACTATATTGCTATATTGAACATTTTAGTAATTGGGTGACTTTTCCTTAATTTCCCTAAGTTTTATCTCTATGAGAAGAAGAAATTCAAGTATAAGTGTATTGAACTTGATAACTATTAAAATGTCTTCCTTCTATGAAGGACAGGACCGCATTGAAATTATTACCAACCTTCTTGGAACATTCCTCTCTTTTCCATTGACCCCCCCCGATTTGTCATTGTTCTCAACAGAATGGCCCATATGTAAAGGAATTTAGCTTTGAGAAAGCAAAATAATGATTTTCAGATTTTTAGAAACTTGATATTTTGCTCCAATGGCCTTTTTTTTTTAGAATGAGAGGTTTGGACAGAGTGAGATTTGAGTGTTTTTTTAACCTCACAATTTTGTGGCTCATTGACTTTACACATTTTTCTTAGGTTTTCATGAAAGGAGATAAGCCATTTTCATCCTTTTGTAAACATTACAAGGACTGGGGATCTGAGAGTCACTGCAGATTAAAACAAAGGGACTGACTACTGGATAACACAAGTTAAAAAACACATTGACATATATCACCCATTGGTTTGTGTCTTTAGAATTATCTAACAAAATAATAAAGAGGGAACTGACTGAATAAAAACATACAAAGATGCTCATGAGCAACAGGATGATTTTGGTGGCTCTGGTCTCTGCGGAGGCATTGGGGCTATAGCTGGTCTTATGAGTGTGTTGGACTTGCCGGTGGTGTGTGTACAAAACAAGCACCATGTAGCCACTGGTAATGGCCATGATGTCCACAAACACTGCATTGTAAAATGAAATCCAGATTATAAGTTTTGAGGTAGTCATGGCATACCTATGTGTAGAAAAATACCGTAGGTTCCTGTTCAACTCATTGTTTGTGTTGTTCCTGGTTCCAGTCACATATAGAGTCACAATCATATCTATCAACAGAATGAGTCCAAACATGAAGACACAGGATAGAACAATGCACTTTGGGGCTCTGACTTTGAGCTCAACCCATTTGGGGCTGCTGGAGCAGATGATCTTGGCCTGGCAGACACTCAGGAAGCAGGTAGTACAAAGGGAAAAACCTCGGCACACTCTTTGCAAATAAATTATGATTTTATATTCAGCATCAGCTAAGAAAATTTCCTGGATGCAGATCTGAATTGCCCATGGTACTTCTCTGAAGAGAATCATCATAATGTTGGAAAAGGCCACATTAATTAAAACCAGGCTAATGGTTCTTATCCTTGGGCAAGTGATTAAATTAGAGCTGTATAAGTAAAGGAGTAAGCCATTCCCAAAGATTCCAATTATAATCTGAAACATCTAGAAAATGAACAGGACAACATCATAAGATTGAATTCCTTATTGTATCAGACAGAAAAATGGTTTTCAGACCCAAAGTTACCTGTGAAGGAAGAGAGAGCATTGTGTTATAGAATCAGATATTTCAAATGAGATTCTACATACTTCTGACTAATCAGATAATCTTCAATAAATTGTTTTTCATGGAGATGTTGTTTTAGAAAATGTTATTCATATTTTTGAGTTTAATAATACAAGTATTGTTATTGTTAAGAACTGTAAAATAATTTTACTGGTAAGGAAGAGTTAGTTATTTTATTATATTTTATCTCCTATGTCTATATTTTTATATATTCAACTCTGTCTATATTATTCAATTTTAGAAGGTCATTGATACTTTGGAGATTAATATTGTTGTAGTTCAGTCAGTTTCAGTCAAGTCTGAATCTTTGTGACCCTATTTGTAGTTTTCTTGGCAAAGATACTGGAGTGGTTTGTCCTTTCCCTCTCCAGCTCATTTTACTAGTGAGGAAATTCAGGCACATTGGGTTAAGTGACTTGCCCAGGTACAGAGCTAGTAAATATCTGAGGTCAGATTTCAACTTAGGGAAATGAGTCTTCTGACTCTAGGCCCAGTACTTCATCCACAGTATCACCTAGCTGCCATTTTAGAGATTATCCAGAGGGTAATAGATGATAAAAAATACAGAATGATATCAGATGATGACATTAGGGATGATATAGGAAAAAATGTTGTTAGATGATGGTTCAAAAAATAAAATGCTTAGCTTGGGAAGAGAAGGCTTCAGGGGAACTACATAGCAAATATGAGAAAATTTTGTTGAGAAAATCACATTATAAAAATTCTATGTTAAATTGAGTGATAGATGAACAGTCTTTTGGAGAATCTTAGAAAAGAGTCAATTGTGAATAGCTCACATGTAGAAAAATGTTGATTTGTTTCTCTTCTGTCCCCAAAATTAGAACTATGGAATCATCTGGTACATGAGAGAAATATATTTAAGTTTGATGAATTGATAATAATCCAAAGAGTTTTTAAACAATAGACAAGGTTGTATTGAGAGGTAGCAAGTTGTCCATTACCAGAGATCTTCATTTTGAGGTTGAATGATTAATTAAAGAGAATATCATAGACAAGATTGTTTTACAGGTATGGATTGGAATAGAGTTGCCTTCTGTTTTTGGAAGGCTTTGAATTACTCTTGGATTTACTTCGTATTCCTTATGCTATCTCCTAAAAATATTAGGAGATTTAATAATAAAATCATGTATTTTAAGACCATCTGGAAAGCATCCAGTTCCCTTTCATTCCACCCTTGATTTTGAATGTAGCTATGATTGAAGTGTCAGGCAACATTGACACCATTGTGGTCAAGGTTGCTGGTTGGCTTGTACTTGTTTTGGTCTAGATATCAAAGGTGAGCAGCCATACTTTGTAGCTCTTACATTTCTATTGTTGTCAGACTGAGAGTTTATGGCATTTTCAGTTGTAGGCTATTGTTAGTAAGAGGATCCTATGTCTTTTGACTGAAAGGATTATGATGCCTCCAATATTGGAACATAAATGATCATGAAGAGCTGTTCAATAGGGAAATTATTGCCACAAATACAACCACCCCTGAAGCTGAGCTGTCACTCAAAATCATTGCAGTGTAAGTCTTTGGGTATTCCAAAAGGAGTAAGATTCTGAGGACATGCTCGCAGAACTCAAGACTATCCAATGCAGGGATAAACACTGACTCACGAGAAATTTTTAGGTAAATAAGATTCTCAGGGTTTCAATTATGTGCCTCATAAACTACTCTCTTACTCTCCTCACTGACATCAAAAGTAGGATCAGACAAGTCTACAAAGCAAGCTTGGCCAACAATGGCTTTTACCCATTCGCTGAAAGCAGCATCAGAGAGGGAAAGATGCTGGTGCCTCCTGGATTCTCTAGTCATTACAACTACTTACTGCACAATAAATCAATTGCCCTACATTCCTGATTTTTATGGGAAAGTATCCAGGAATATGTAGCCTTAGTGTTAGAGAAAACAAGCTTTTTTGACCATTTCTTTTAGTAGGGAATAAAATAATTAAAGTAGGCTTTTGGCAGGACTGATCTGAAATAAGTTTTATGTTTTCTTTTTATTATTATTATTCAAGTATTCCTGAAAGACCTAGACCTGTGTCTCTTTAGAAATGACATTGTTAGTCTCTCCAGAGCTCCAAACATGAAAATTATATGCTAGTGAGGTATGGTTCAGAGAGCTTTGAATTGGGAGTGCAAGAGGTAAATGAGTTGAAATTCCATTTGCTGCTCACTAACAGTGTGTCAACAAACACAGCACTTAATTTCTATATGTCTCATATCTGCATTAGTGAAATATAGATGATACTGTTGCTTTAGAAATTTGTTGTAAAGATCAAATGGTATAATTGATGTAAAAGACTTCAAAATCCTTGAAGTATTTCCCACAATTTCACTCATTTCTATAGACACATGTGGAATCATGAAATCTGATCAATGAAAACTCAGCAGTTCCTTTGAGCACAGCCATCCTTTCAGACACCATTCAATTCAGACACCATCCCAGTTGCTCTTTTCTTATCCTTAATAGATTTCTATAATACCCCAATACACTTATTTGGCTTAGTCTATGACTCTCATGGGCTCCTCATTTTAAACAATAAATCATCCTGAGCTCTTTCTGGTAGGGCTTCAGTACATGATTCATCTATATTGATAATTAGATTAATGAGTATGGCATTTCCTGTTGCCTTGCCAAACATGGCCTACTGTGACACTATTTTAAGAGACTATTTTCTGTTTTTGTTTTTTTTTTTTTTTTTTTTGAGGCAGTTGGGGTTAAGCAACTTACCCAGAGTCACACACCTAGTGAGTGTTATGTATCTGAGGTCAGATTGGAACTCAGGTCCTCCTGACTCCAGGGCTGATGCTCTAGCCACTGCTAGCTGCAACCCCCCCTCCCCATTCTTTGTTCTTGAATGTACATACTATGAACTTGTTCAACAAATGTTCATATTGGTGCATTGGATTTTTGCAAACAAAATATTTAAATAAAGTGCAGCATTATGATAAATGAAATTATAGCAAAATAACTTCAGAAAATCTAAAAAATCAAGTTTTTCTTTTTCTTTTTCTTTTTTTTCTTTTTTTGCTGAATAAAGCTGGAAGGAACAGATTTTCCTCAAAGACATAGCAGGATTTTTTCTGTGACTCATCTTTAGAAGAATTTATCCTTAAGCACATTGCTTCTAGATATAATGCTACCCACCATGGAGGCCACATGGCCAAAAATTAGACAGTTCTAGATATCTCCTTAGCAGTATGGTTGAAGAATCTGTGTTTCCCTGCACCCCCCCCAAAAAAAGTGTTTCCTTGACTATAAACTAGGAAATATAATCCATGGACATCTAAAAGTTAATAAAATTACTCAGAAGAATGTAATTGTCTTCCTACACGTTCTTAGCCTTTGAGAAAAAATGAATTGAGTACTGAGTACTGTCGTAAAATGTTGGCCATATCAATGTACATGACTATGATGGCCAAGGTAGGAACATTTAGTGCTTCTTAGTGAACCACCTTTTTCACCCTGGAAACGTAGAATGAGAGCTCATGGGAGTGGGCATGCAACCCATGTCAGAACTCAAGATATGAATTGGTTACAAAGAAGAGACAGAACTAATTTGGAATATGAACTGATTATTTTGCTAGACATTGTTGTTGTTTACACATGTGTATTTCAGACTAGAAATTTTGACTATCTTAGACACTCATTGACCTTGTCATCTCACACATTGGAAAGAGAGAAAAAGAAACTAGAACAGAATGTTTTACAAAGAGTGTATTAGTATAGGAACTAACTTTTTAAAAAGAAACTATTACTGTCTCATCATGGATAAGTTACTTAACTTTGAGTATTGAATAGAACATTTTAAATTAATCATTAAGAAATTTTTTATGGAGTCTGAACAAAAAAATTGTTGAAATTGATTTAGGTTATAAATCTTCACTGAGGAAGACAAGGGAACAAGCATTTTTACAGTATCTACTCTGTGTCAGACACTATGACCAACACTTTATAAATATTTAACCATTTTTATCCTTCTAACAGCCTTAGAAGGGGGTGTTACTATTATCCACACTTGACACTTGTGGAAACTGAGGCAGACAGAAGTTAAGTGGCTGATCCATTGTGATACAGATAAAAAATGTTTAAGGGCACATGTGAACTCACATATTTCTAATTTCAGACACAGAGCTCCATCCACTGCATTACCTATATACACAGTGATCAATTTCTCTTGGTTTTCTTCCAGTATTCTTATTTTGTCAATATTTTCTCTATTTGTAGATTTTGGCACAAATTCTTTGTATGTTTTGATTGGTCATATGCTTTCATATTTATTTTCTGAAGAAATTTTTTGCTATTTCTATTTGTAATGTTGGCAAAAAAAAGTAGATGGCTTGGTAGCACAGTTGAAAGAATGTCAGGCCTGGAGTCAAGAAAGCCTGAGGAAAAATCCAGCTTCAGATACTTATTATAATATCCTGGGTAAGTCACTTAATCTTTGTTTATCTCAGTTTTCACATTTGTCAAAAGAGGGTAATAATAGCAACTATCTTGCGTGTTTGTGGTTAAGATCAAATGACATAACAACTGTAAAACACTTAGCACAGTGCCTGGCACTTAGTAAGTATTATCTAAATATTATTGTCTGTATTATTCTTGTTTTTGTTGCTATTATTATTATTATATTGTTCTTTAGCATTCTGTATAATTTTATTAAGATAAACTTCAATGTAATTTTTTTCATTTATATTTCTTTTTTTTCCATTCCTTGTTAACTATATTTAAACTCTCTGTGCTTTTTGAGAAAGTTATATTGCAATAGCAGAAAAGAAACATGGTGCAAGTACAGAGACATCGACATCCCAGATGTTCATGCAGACTATTTGTGCCTGACCTTTGGTAGCACTTTCTGAGCTTGTCTTGGTCTGATCAGTCACAGTTGGATATATTGTATACCGACCCTGACATTGTCCTGTAATTTTGGTTTTCTTCAAATACAAAGGACAACAAGAAATGATATTTTTAGCTCATTAATGGACAACAGCCTTATTCCTGTTCTTTTTAGGTTCCAAATTTCCTTGTCCATTGTCGGTGCTCAATCTACATCCATGCTAAATGACGTTAATTCTCCAGAAATATTAAAGAGTTAGAGTTCTTAATACTTTTTTTCCCAACTTTTTCCTATGGAGGTGCATACACAGCACTACTACATTTGCACTGAAGATGATGAGGATTTTCTTCTCCTACTGAGGATCTGAGCTTTTATTCTGCTTAGATCTTTTACTAAGAAAAGATTTGTCCTTTTTCTGTCTCTCAACCATTGAATGACTTTTACTTTGAACATCTTTTCTCTCCTTTTGTAGCCAATAGAAAAGTACAGTTTTTACTCTCTTTCCCAGAGATATTAAGCTGCTGTGACTTATTATAAAACAATATGCTACTTTCCCCCAATACACCTTTCTGTGATTACCTACCTCAGATACTATATTTCTTGACTTTTTCATGTTTTACGTGGCATTGTGGTGATGGATTTCTGTCCATTCTTGCTTTCAACTCTATGCTTGGTTTTTGTCAATTCCTGAGCAGTGAAGAAAAATAGCCCAAATTTGGTATTAACCACAGTTCCATGCCAATTTTAGGAAATTATGCCTAGGATTTTTATTTAAATTTTTCCTACCCTCTGACATATCATATCCTTAGAAATAGGATGTAATTTAAAGAATCACAGTCACAAAATACTTGACACTGCTGTTGAAGATCAACAGCATTTAAATGCCTACTTTTACAACTATATATAACATATTGTATCTACTCATAGTAATTCCATATGCTGCATGTTTAGTTATAGGTTTAGCAGTATAGGCTTTGTCAATACATTTATAAAAAATTATCACTATTTGAAAAAATGGCAGTTGAAAGTATACAGTGGGAACTAGAATATCATAAAAGTAAATTCAGAGTATAAAAATAATACAAAAAAGTAAAAGTTTGTGTCAAAAAAGTGAATTAATAACTGAATGTTTAATAAATGAAATTCAATGGTATATGAGTAAGAAAAGATAAGACATTTAGTGAAATTCCTCAGTGGAGAAGTTTTATTATGTGGGCATATCTTGAAAAACATCAATCACTTATCCATATAGTAAAAACAGTTTAAAAACTCCCAAGGGGAATTACTGTCACTAAGATTATGTTACAATTCCACATATCCTTTCTTAAGACTCTAGTTGAGTTCAAAGAGGGGCATTCTATTGACTTTGCATTTTGTGAGAACATTTGCCTAAAGAGACTACTACCACCAGGGGCAGCTAGACTGTCAAAAGAAGCAGATTCTTTTAGGCTGGTACAGTTATAAAGTATCTGGATCCAAAAAACCTTGAGATAAAAGAGTATCTAGTTGACATGGAAAAATACCAGTCTCCAACAACTTTCAGATGCAAATATGAGACCCAAAGCCTGTAGAAATTATATTGAACATGGAACTATAGACAAAATAATTCAAATGATTAAATAAATATGAAAGACCAGGGGAAGGGATGTCATAAGAGTGTGATGCAAAATATATAGATGTGCAGTACAAAGGATCAGAATTATATCTGTTACAGTTATCACTTAGATAGACAAATGTGTGATGAAAGTAAATGCAGATTTCCTTTGAAAGTGATTGAGTTTCAAGGAATCAGTATAAAGAAAGGCAAACTGGGTAATTAATGGAGGTCATCCTGGTTCTTTGAAAATACTAAGGAAGACCTCATCTTTACTGAAATCACAGCCATTTCATACAATAATCCCAACATCAACATAAATTCAGAAAGGAGATTTTTTTTCTGTTACAAATGTGGGATCGATGAAGACAAATCTGT